GTCGGGGTCCAGGAAGCCTGGGGCACTTGAGCTGGGCCCAAGCTCCAACAGCCCACACCACGTCTCCTGGTCCAGGAGGCTTTGCTGGCAGGCCAGCTCAGGGGCCACACGCATGCCCTGGATGGGGTCCACCAGGCCCCCCGTGGCCTCCTGGGCCTCCAGCCAGCTCCACCCCAGTGCCCTGTCCACAACCTCCTTCCCTATGGCCTGGAAGAGGGCCAGCTTCCCACCCCCAGAGGGTCAGGGTACCCAGTGACCGCGTGCTCGGCGGCCAGCGGCTTCTCCTTCCGCTCCAGGCCCACCAGGCCCTGCTGCAGGGCCTCAGACACGAGGAGCAGCTGGCCCTGCCCAGGGCCGCCTGGGCCTCCAGCAGAGCCAGCTCGAGCCCAAAGGGCAGGAGACCCTGCTTCATGACAGCGTAGAGACGCTGGGCCTGGCCCGAGGCCTCCACATACACGCCGGCGAGGCTCCTGGCCTGGGGCCCAGATGGGGTGCCGGTGCCCAGCACGGCCTTCACGGTCTCAGGGACGACAGCCGTCTCAGTGCCATTGGTGACCAGGAGGTTGAGAGGAGAGACGTGGCTGTTCATCGCCCAGAACTTGCTCAGCCAGGGCCCACCGTCTGCTCCCTGTGGGGATGGAAAGGCTGTGAGGGACCCGAGACAGCCCAGGTGGGTGGGAGGGCAGACACGGTCAGGAGGTCAACCCTGCTCTCTGGACCCACCTCCAGGGCAGCCGGCCCTCCTGAGGGAGGGGTGTCACATCCAGCTTCGGTCCCTCCCCTTGCCCTGCGGCTCCCAGGAGGGGACCATGTGAGCACAGGGACCCCACGGTAGCCTTGGGGGGTGCGGGCTCTGTTTTCTCCTATAGGCCATCCTCTGGCCTCCATCTCAACCCCGCACCCTCGTCCCCTCCCCCCAGGGTCCTGGTGCAGAGGCTCGGCCTCCACCCGCCGTTGGCCTCAATACCCAGCGATGACCAGTCCCTGCCCTGCCCTCGGGTGGTCTCCATGTATTCGTGTGCTTCTCCCTCCCCCTTCCCAGTGACCCCTCCAAATCCTTCCCCACCTTAACCCACTGCTGCCCTGGCCTCTGCTCCCTCCTGGCTCCCCACCGGGCTTCAGCCAGGTTCCTGCCCTCTGTCCCAAGTCTCTCACATCAGCCCGGCTGTGTCCCCCTCTGCCCACCCTGGCCCCATGTCCTCCGGGCCATGGCCTCTGGAAATAGGGTCTTTGCAGATGTAATTAAGTTAAGGTTAAGGTGAGCTCACACTGGTGTAGAGAGGTCCTTATTCCAACACGACTGTGTCCTCACAGGAAGACAGACGGGGACGATGCCCAGCCCACAGAAGCAGACTGGAGGCGAGCAGCTTCAGGCCCCAAACCCAGCATTGCCACCAAACGCCAGAAGCACTGATTCCAGATCCTGGCCCCTCAACTGTGGAAGAATAAGGTGCTGTTGTTTGAAGCCTCCCGGGCTGCGGTAATTGTTCCCTCCCGGCCCCAGGAGCCAGTCCACGTCCTGCTTCCACAGAACCACACCTGCAGTCCCCGGTCCTGGTCCACACTGTCCTCGCCTCCCGCAGCTCCCCAAAGCCTCACACGGGGTCTCGGGAGAAGGCTCAGCCCCACGCGCCCTCGCCCCCGCTCCGCAGCTCTTGCTGAGGTAACCTCGGACTCCAAACTGCCAAACCCCACAAACGCATTTTCGATTTGACCTCCCGACCTCTGGGGCACGGGGCATGGGGGACCCTCCTCCCTGGTGACATTTCCCCGTTCAGCCGGAGAGCTCCCCTGACCGCAGCTGGAGCCCAGCCTGTCCTGGGGTCGCGGAACCGCGTGTCCAGCTGCCTCCTGGACACCTATGCCCAGCGGTCTCGCAAGGGGCCTCAAGTTCCATGGTGCCCCCAGAAGTGCTGGCTGTGAGCAGCTCTCCGTCACCCGCTCTGCAGAGCCTGAACCCTAAATCCCCCCACGGCCCCGCTCTCCCCATAGCTGGGCCCAAGAGGTGCTCCTCTGTGTCTGCTGAGACCCCTGGGCAAAATCCTGTTGCCCCCTTTCCCTGCCCGGATGTTGGGCCCAGAGCCTCGGTGGCGCCTGCAGCCGGTCTGCCGCTGGGTCTCGGAGTGCGTGCCAGGCCCGGGCAGACGTGGAGGCGGTGGCTTGGTGCTCACCCGCCCCGCCCCCGCCCCCGCCCCCCCGCCAGGTTCCAGGAGGCACGGCACTTGTTCAGCTCTCCCGAAGCGAGCAGGCCATGCAGTGTGGGCGCGCAGGGCACACCATCATGCCTTTGAGAAGGTGGGAAGAGGACATGGGGTGGGGAGAGAGGAGCGTTGTTGAGATCCAGGCCTTGGGCTTCCCTGGTGGCGCAGTGGTTGAGAGTCTGCCTGCCGAGCAGGGGACGCGGGTTCGTGCCCCGGTCTGGGAAGATCCCACATGCCGCGGAGCGGCTGGGCCCGTGAGCCATGGCCGCTGAGCCTGCGCGTCCGGAGCCTGTGCTCCGCAACGGGAGAGGCCGCGACAGTGAGAGGCCCGCGTACTGCAAAAAAAAAAAAAAAAGATCCAGGCCTTGGGAAAGAACACAAAAGGCTTTGTTCGAGTGACCAGCTGGACGCCTGAGCGGGGTTCCAGGACTCGGTGTGACCGTGGTGGACGCAAGGCTGCCCTGACCTCCTTCTAGGGGTGGCTGAGGCCGCCCTGACCTCCTTCTAGGGGTGGCTGAGACTCTGCACCACCAGCCAGCTTGTCTCCCTGCCATCTGCTTCCTCCCCTCCTTCCCCAGGAGCCTTCCCGAGGCCACTCCCTGAAACCGTGTCAGGCTCTGCTTCCGCGAGCTGACCTGGACGCGTGCTGTGCTGCCCACCTGCCCAGTGACCAGCCTGCTTCCTTTGTATGGTGCGCCTCGTTCCAGGACGGCCTTCAGAGGGTCTGTGAGCAGAGGAAGCCTCAGGTAACAGGGCCCCCGGGGTGGCTGGAGCAGTGAGCTGACCACCTGAAGTCGGGCAGGGGACCAGGGTGGGAAAGAAAAAAGGTACTTCGCTACCCAGCCAAGGCGGGAGGGCTTTCTGGGCCACGGGGTCAGGAGCAGCGGGGGGGGGGGGGGTGCAGGCTGTGCTGTCCCGCCGGGAGCCCAGCAAGGAAAACCAGAGGAGCAGGACGGACTCCTGCGCGGGAAGCTCAAGTTTCCTGAGCAGCAGGGATTCGTGGGAGGGAGGGTGCTGGGGCCCTGAGGGCCATTGTGGGGGGAGGGCCTGAGGGGCTGGGAGAGGCCCTGTGCCTGCGGCTCTGCCCGACGCAGCTGGGTAACCGTGGCTGGGCCATGGCCCGTTTGGTCAGCAGCGACCTTGGGCCTGGTACGAGCCTCCCTGGTCCCTGACCAGGCAGGACGTGAAGAGGGGCCTGGGAGTGGGTGCCTTGAGTCTGAAGTGGGGACCTTGGGGAAGCAGCTGGACAGAGAGGTCTGGAGCTCGGGAGAGACAGACCAGGGCATGTGAGGGGTGTCCAGGGCCTGGGGAGTGGGAGACAAAGCAGCTTCAAGGCTGGGAGACACAGAAGAGCCCAATCGCACAGAAGCCAAAAGACAGGCGTCCCAGAGAGGTGGTTACCAGCAGAAGTGGCAACGGCACGTGGCTAGAGGGGAGGGTGGCCTCGTGGCTGGGGGAGGGGCCGAACGGATTTCCCAGGACTGGAAAGGGACTCTGAGAGGAGGCCCCTCCTGTGGCTTCCTGGGAGCAGCCCCACTTCAGGTGGCCCAAGGGGACAAGAGGTGGGAGGGCAATTCCTGAGGAGGGTGGGTCCACATCCCTGGGAGGGGGCGTCACCTATCAGTACCCTGAAGGGCAGCGCGCACACGCCAGGCTGGGCTGGGGGTTGCGGAGGGGCCTCTCTGGCTGTCCATCTAAGCCAAATCACAACAGAACCGGATGGCCAGGCTGCCTCAGGCTCACACATGGAGACAGTGACCTTGGTTGGCCTTTGGCCCACTTTGAGCAGCGTCAGAAAGATCCCACCCACCTGCACTGGGTGCAGACTGCAGAGATCAGTGGCCATGCGGAAACTCGGCACGATGGGCGGGTCAGGGAGAGAGCAGAGTCACGGAGGCTGGAACCCATGGCAGAGCCCCTCCCGCCTCTACCTCCCAAGGGTCTCGAGATGGCCCCACGCAGGGGTCCCTGGTGCCCATCCACCCCCGACGGCAAGTAGCTCCCTCCATCGGTAAGCACTGGCCTGCCTCACCCCAGCAACGGGCCAGGAGCCATCCCACCCTCTCAATTTGTCAGCCTAATTGCCTCGCGCCCTGGGCGCTCGGACCGGCTCCAGCTGCAAGGCAGGGGGCGGGGCAGGAAGGAATCAGACCTGCACGGCCCCACCCAGGCGCGCACCAGTCCTGCCCGGGAACCCCTGGGCAGGCGAGGCCCCTGCTACGTCTCCCACGCCCGTGCGGGGAACCAGGCTCGGGGGCGACTGCCAGGACTCCCGCGCACCAGGGCTAGTTGGGAGGGAACCGGGCCTCAGAGCCCCGCTTGCCCGGAGCGGAGCCCAGAACCCCGGGCCACCTCCGGGCGCGTCGCGCCCGCCCCAGCCTCTGCAGGCCCCGGGCTGAGAGCCCCCGTAGGTGTCTCGGCTTCGCTCGGCGGCCGCCCCGCCCGGGCCGGCCTGGCTGTCCCACCTGCCCGGACGGTGCCCGCAGCACTCCGTACGCAGTCCCTCCGTTCGCTGCTGTGCCTGCGACCGGCGCCTCCCGGTTTAAACCCGCTCAGGCCCCTCCCCGGGGCGGCACGAGGTGCTTCCGATGGGTGCGGGCGCCCTGAAGCCGGGAGGGGCGCGTGACCGGGAAGCCCACGCGGGGCTGGGTCGACGCCCCCGCGCGCTCCCCTCGGCCGCCACGGTCTGTGAACACCCCTAGGCGGGGAGGAGGGCGGCTGCCGAGGAGCAGGGTCCCCTCGCTCCTACCCAGCCCCTTTCGTCAGCTCCCCCAGAGTCACGGCGAAGGAACGCGGGCGGCCGCCCTGACGGCCTCTGAATGGTTTGCAAGGTAAGTGCGGCCCCGCCCGCCGCGCGCAGAGTTTCGCTTTACAGACGTGATTTTATCGCCCGAGGGGGCCCACTGGGCCGCTGGTGCAGGCGTTGGCCTCGACCCAGGGGCCCCTCCTGTCCAGTGCCCTTCGTCGTCCAGGCCTCGCTCCCGCCTCGGGGCCGGCGGCTTGCGCTGCTGCTTCGTCCTGGGGCTGCCGGGCCAGGCTGTCCTCAGAGGCTGCCTCCATGGCCGAGTGGCTTCCCTGCCTTGACCGTGGAAGAGATGGGGTCTCTGTCCCCAGCAGGCTTCCAGTCTGTCTGGAAGGGATGACCAGGCCTTGCCCCATGGGTTCAGCACCTCCACCTGGGATCGGAGCAGGCGTTCTGTCCAGCAGGAGGACCTGGGCCCCTTCTCAGACGCCAGTCCCAGCGCCCACCTTCCGGGGCCGGGGACTCCTGGAGCAGCTGAGGAAGAAGGGCCAGAGCCTGGCAGGCTGGGGCCACAGCCCAGGACAGGAGCCACACGTGGGTCTTCTGGCTGGTCCTCCCCTTTGCTGCCCAGAGATCCCAGATGGATGGGGTGGAGCAGGTGCCCCTTGCCCCCCAGGGTCAGGACCCAAGGCCTGTCCTCCTCTGTCCCCATTCCCGGCCCTGAGGACTCAGTCTTTCCCCTTCCCCAGGCCTCACTTCTTTCCGGGTCGTTCTCGACCAGATACTCATCCAGGGCCACCCAGCCACCTCCGACCGTAGCATGAGAGCACCTTGAGACACCTGCGCAGGCACAGGGGCTGGGGGGCCGGGCTTCCAGGGTAGAGGGTGCCAGTGTTGGCTCCCGTGGCTCTGTCCTCACTCCCACCCCAGGCCCACGCTCACGCCTGCTCACCAAGGCTTCCTGGACCCTGGGCCGACCTTTGGCCGCCTGTGTCCTTGTCGCTGTCTGCGTACCCCACCCTGGCTATGCTATGTGGCTGCTGCTGGCCACTGGAGAGGCCTGACCTGATAAGAGTAGTGAGCTCCAGCCTGGGCCCCTACCCGCCCGCCCAAGGCATGTCAGGCCAGCTGCCTTCGCCCCGTCTCTGCTCACCAAAAGCCAGGACGCCGTCCATGAGGTCCCGCTGGGCAACGTGCCGAGCTGGCTGTGGCTCGTGGCCGGGAGTGCAGCCCGGAGCCTCTTCTCCGTGGGGTCGGGTCACTGCAGGCAGCACTGCTGCCAGGCCACGAAACCCAGGTGTGGGCCAGCTCCTCGCTGTGGGAAGGAGACGTGAGGCTGCCCAGGCCTGGGTCTCTCTGTGCCCAGGGGTGGGTAGCACGCCTGCCTGTGCCGTCCCTGCCCCAGCCGTGCCCACTGGTCCTCATCCCTCCGGCTCCTCTCGCTGTGGCTGTAGCCCCCTGTGGTGGCCTCCAGCTCAGATCTTCCAGGAACCCTCCCGGGGGGCAAGCCTCGATGCCCGTCCTGCTCCCGAGGCCCTTGGGCTGTCCCTGGTCAGCCAGAGCTGCTGCCGTCCTTGGAGCTCTGGTTACCACTGTTCTATGAATGACCACTCTGGGGACCGCATATAAGTGGCATCGTGCCATGTTTGTCCTCTTGTGTCCAGCTTACTTTACGTAGCGTGGTGGCTTTAAGCTTCATCCGGGCTGTGTCAGACATCAGGATTCCCTTCTTTTTAAAGGCTGCCCCGTATTCCGTTGTGCGTATTTACCCAACGTGCTTTATGTGCTCATCTGTTGGTGGATACTTGCGTTGCTTCGTCTTTCCTTTCTGAAAGCTTACCCTCACTCATGTTGCACGTCAGGGGCTGGCTGAGGCTCCGCTCTGCCACCTTCACGTCAGGATCCAGGCTGGTGAAATTACCATAATCTGGAATATCACTGGTCCTCCTGGCTTAAGGAGTGAGAACTTGGGAAGGTCTTATACTGGCAGCTAAGTGCTCTGGTGTGAAGGGGCCACGTGCCACTTCCTCTCATACCCCGCCGGCCAGCACTGGTCATATGGTCCCCCTGACCACGAGGGGCGGCAATGCCGTCCTCCTGTGCACTGGATGGAGTAGCGCTGGTGAACAGTACTCGTGACCACACAGCCCCTCATTCAGAACCATCACACTTATCCCACCTGTCATGATTTTAGTCATTCAGTTTTGTAGTTCATCCTCTAAATCAGCGGTCCCCAACTTTACGGCACGAGGGACCAGTTTTGTGGAAGACAGTTTTTCCATGATGCGGGGATGGAGGGGGAAGGATGGTTCAGGAGGTAATGCGAGCGGTGGGGAGCGGCAGATGAAGCGTCACTCGCTTGCCTGCTACCAGTCCGCGGCCTGGGGCTTGGGGACCCCACTCTGAATAATGAGTACCACAATTTGACGCTGATGATTGCTTTCCTCATAAGTGATCTGGCATCGTGCTATGACAGGTTCCTATGATTTCTGCCAAGTGAAAACTATTGACTTTATCTCACGTGTGCAGTTGTTCGGATGCTCTTCTGACCCCTAGACAGCGCCTCGCCCAAAGCTGAACCTACTACAGGCACAGCCCAGAGATCACCTACAAGGTAACATTTCTGCCATTGGATAACTTGGGGTTTAAAACCTGAACTTCATAGAACATGTGTATCACTCCGTTCTCTTTCTAGCGATATTTACACAGGAACATTTTATCTTCACATCACCCCAAATCAATAAACGAGCTTTAATCGAACAGTGTGCAGGGGAAATCTTGAATGAAACCTCAGATAGGATGGCTAGATGGCCATGACCACCTGAGGGTGTTGTACGAAGCTCGGGGTCAACAAATGTCTGTGTGGGTGGTGGGATGGGGCGGGACTAAAAGAAGCCACGTCCCTGCAGATGGACTTGCTAGCATCCGTGTTCATCGCCGTGTTTGGGAAGCAGTGTGTTTAGCACTTCACACTCACTTATCTGTATGTGTACTGAGTGGCTTTTAGTTACATTATAATTTTCCCCACGTAGATGTCCAACTGCTATTTTTGTGGAGAATGTCTAATTCTTGGGAATATTCTCTTGCCATTAAAGGGAAGAGGCCTGTGTGTGATCAGTCAATCACAGTACACGGCCTAAATTTTTTTTTCATATAATGTCTATTCCATAGCATAGGTTATCTTTTTCAAACTCTAAAAAAACTTTGCACACTCGCTATTATTACTGATGTGCAACTCACATTTTCACGTTTACTAGGATTGTGGATAAATGCTTTGTCCCCATCCTCACTCATCAGTTCATTTTTTTCATGCCAAAAGAGGTTGAGATCACAGCAAAATACATAATCTTTTGAGTGTTATATATTATAAAGAAACCAGGCTCTGGGACTTCCCTGGTGGCACAGTGGTTGAGAGTCCGCCTGCCGATGCAGGGGACACGGGTTCGTGCCCCGGTCCGGGAGGATCCCACATGCCGCGGAGCGGCTGGGCCCGTGAGCCATGGCCGCTGAGCCTGTGCGTCCGGAGCCTGTGCTCCGCAACGGGAGAGGCCGCGACAGTGAGAGGCCCGCGTACCGCCAAAAAAAACCAGGCTCTACATTTTGTTAAATGTCACCTTTTGGAAGAATACATGTTTAATAAGTTTCCAAAAACGTCCTACCTGTGCCTGCTGTTTTGGAGATTAGAAATCTGTATGTGCGGCGGACAGGTTTCAGGACCAGCGTCCCGTGTTTGATGTTCCCAGTGGGGGATTTCCTTGAAGACGCTTGCTGGTCAGTTCTCTAGCTGAGGAGCCCCTGCGTGTTGAGAAGCACGCGTTGTTCTGGACGACGTCAGAGCATCAGCCCCTTCAGCGACTGGACTGTTTCTTCCTCAGGAGTTGGTGTGGAGCCTCCCAGACCAAACACCACACTCCCTTTCTCTGTCAGAAAGCTGGGGTAAATTGTATATATTTGTATAACTGAAACACTTTGCCGTATACTTTAAACTATATGTCTATATATATATATATATATATATTTTTATATATTTTTTTTTGCGGTACGCGGGCTTTTCACTGCTGTGGCCTCTCCCGTTGCGGAGCACAGGCTCCGGACGCGCAGGCTCAGCGGCCATGGCTCACGGGCCCAGCCGCTCCGCGGCATGTGGGATCCTCCCGGACCGGGGCACGAACCCGTGTCCCCTGCATCGGCAGGCGGACTCTCAACCACAGCGCCACCAGGGAAGCCCCAATATATATACATTTTAAGTAATATAGGATGGTAACTGAAAGAGAAAGATTAAAAAACAGGAAGCTGGAGTAAAATACGACTTTTTGTTCGAACAGACCCTTTGCTGCCACCTGCTGGAGAACTCTCAGAATAAATATCCACTTTTGCCACCAATTGTTGGAGGCCGTGAAGCCATTACTCAGATGCGTTACAGTGGAAATGAGAAGCACTCCTCTGAATCAGGAAGGTGCCGGTGCCTCCTTAGAGCGGGTGTTCTCGCGGTCAGGGAGCCCGTAAGTCTCCCCGCTCCTGCTGCCTGGCCTGGACCAATCGTGAAGAAAGAAAGAGTCGGACCGAGGAGGACCAGGCGGCGGGCGTGAAACGAGCACCCAGATGTAGACCCCGCCACGCCCTGGTTCCCTGGCGGGCCGCGAAGGCTGTCCGAGGGTGGCAAGCGCCGCCGGCCCAGAGAGGGTCAGGGCAAACCCGTGTTTGCACCGTCTCTGTCCAGTGGCCAGGTCAGGCCATCGGAGAAGCCCCTGTCCTCCCCAGGATGGTGGGGGGAGGCGCATTTCCCAGCCTCTGCCCTCCTTTTCACCTTGGCCGTGGTCGCTCAGGGTGTGGCTGCCCCTGGGGGGGGGAGTGGGCGCTCAAGACCCCAGCCCGTCAGCCCACTCCCCTCTTTGCAGGGCCCTTGTCCAGCACTCACGGCCCCGTGGTGCCCCCTGGGAACCCCCCGGCTCTGAAATGTATCAGGGTGGGACACGGGTGAAAGCAGCTGGGATTCTGGCAGGTCTGCTCGCGGTCTGGCTTCCGTCAGGAGTCTCAGGGTGGCAACTGTGTCCCATGCAGACGTTCCCACCTGCTACCCGTCCGTGCTCACTGGCTGGAGCGTCTCTGCAGAAAGAAACTCCTGTCTCCTACTGTTTGGTTACCCAGTGTCCCTGTCTGTGTAGCAAAAGCAGGATAAATGCTTGATTCTTTTTTTTTTTTTCAATTTAATAATTCTCCAAATCTTGGATACTTAAGTCGCTTCCAATTTTTCACAATTATTCCCTTCTTTCCTTTTTTTGCTATTGAGGTAGAATACACATGCCGTAAAAGTTATCACCTGAGCCATTTCTTGAAGAGTACAGTTCAGTGGCATTAGGTGCATTCGTGACCATAACCCTTCATCTTGTAAACAGAAACAGTACCCATGGAACCACAACTGTCCCCCTGCCCCCAGCCCTGGCACCACCCTTCTACTTTCTGTCTCTATAATTTTGACGACTCCAGGTGCCTCATATGAGTGGAATCCTGCAGTCTTGTCTTTTTGAGACTGGCTGACCTCACTGAGCAGTTTGTCGTCCAGTTTCATCCATGGTGGTAGCACATGTCATAACTGCCTTCCTCTTTAAGGCTGAATAATGTCCCATCGTATGTACAGACCACAGTTTGCTTATTGACACATCCATCCGTGGACACTTGGGTTGCTCCCATGTTTTAGCTATTCTGAATAATGCTGCATTGAACATGGGTGTACAAATATCTATTCGAGTCCTTGCTTTCCATTGTTTTGTGTATACACCTGGAAGTGGAATTGCTGGATCACGTGGTGATTATATTTTTAACTTTTTGAGGACCCTCCGTACTGTTTCCGCAGCAGTTGTACCATTTTACATTCGCACCAACAGGGCACAAGGGTTCCATTACTCCACACCCTCACCAGCACTTGTTATTTTCTGGTTTTCTCATAGTAGCCGTGCAGACGGATGTGAGGAGGTATCTCGCTGTAGTTTTGATTTGCATTTCCCTAACGATTAGTGGTGTTGAGCACATTTTTGTGCACTTAGTGGCCATTTGAATGTCTTCTTTGGAGAAATGTCTATTCAAGTCCTTTGCCCATTATTGAATTGGGTTGTTTGTTTTGTAGTTGTTGAGTTTTAGGAATTCTCTATAAATTCTGAATAATAATCAGGTATATGATTTGCAAATGTTTTCTCCCATTCTGCGGGTTGCCTTTTTACTCTGAGGACAGTGTCTTTGGATAAACAAAATTTTCAAATTTTCATAACGTCTTATTTGTCTTTTTTCTTCTTTTGTTGCCTGTGCCTTTGGTGTCATACCTAAGAAGTCACTGCCAAATCAAAAGTCATGCATTCTTGGGCTTCCCTGGTGGCGCAGTGGTTGAGAATCCGCCTGCCGATGCAGGGGACACGGGTTCATGCCCCGATCCGGGAAGATCCCACGTGCCGCGGAGCGGCTGGGCCCGTGAGCCATGGCCGCTGAGTCATGCATTCTTTTATTCGATGATTTATTCTAAGTGTTTTATAGTTTTAGGTCTTAAGTTAATTTTTGCCTCCCCTGCCTCATGCCAGGCCCTCTGCCAGCAGCGTGCGTGGTCCCCAAAGGGCTCAACCTGGACCCACAGGCTCAGCTTCATGCCAGGGGGCAGCACTGCCTCAGTCCCTGAAGGATGGACCCCCCATGTGTGCCAGGGGCTCTGGCCCCGTCTGGCTGCATCTCAGTCCATTCCTAGACTGGAGAGGGCCCAGCAGCCTGACCAGGAGGTGCCTGCTGGCAGCACGAGTGTGACAATCACTGGGTTTCCAGAGCTTCTGGGCACCCCTGTGCTCCCTGACTGGGGTCAGCTGTTTTGACAATAAAATCTGATGTATTACGTGGTCAGCCAGGGACCTTGCAGAGCCAGGCTAGTAAACAGCAGACAGACCCCTTAGAAACAGGGGAAAGAGAAACCCGTTCTGCCGTAGCAGTGTGGGTGAAGAGTATCCCGTCACACATCAGTAAACAGATGTTGCAGCGACCCACACCCTGCCACGGTGCGTCCTGAGGAGACTCAGGATAAGAAAGCACAGGATACAGCCCCAGGTAGCCGAGGTGCAGGTCAAAGGAGTTTCCGTGAGCCGGACTCCTGCATCTTCCCATACATAGAAGAGCGCTAAATTCCTTCACTTGAGACGTCTGGGTTTCTTTAATGAACAGTAATCTTTTGATGTTCCGACTACCTGATCTTTGTTGCTGAAACTGCCGTGTATCTCGGCCCCTCCCTGACCTCTTTGGAGCAGAACCTCAGAGCCACCTGAGAGGCTGTCCTCCGGGCGCAAGTCCTCGGTTTTGTCTGCCAGAGAAAACATGCTTCTCAGCTTTTCCATTGTGCGCTCTTTTCAGTCAACAGCAGGCTCAGCAGTTCCCAGCCCAGATCGGCCTGAGGCCACGCAGGCCCCAGCCGCTGGCCTTCCCGCCCACATCTTTGTAAAAGGTCCCTTTGTTACACACGCCTCACCTCCCCTGCTTCATGTCAGGACTCCCGACCACAGACACACTGCATTTCCACCCCTTTAAGGGTCGATTTTGACATGAATATTGAACAAAGTGTGGAATCAATCAAAATCCACCTCCTCGTCCTGAAAAATGCTAAGGCATCGAAGTGTTTAACCAGGTGTGCTCTACCTTACCTGCTACTGATGTCTGATACAATTTTAAATCCACCGTTTCTTTCTCATTTTAACCTCTACTTGTCACAGTACATGAATATCTCACCCGTTGGAAGTAACTTGGGTTACGTGCTGTGAAATAAAACATATTTTATGGCAAGACAAGAAACTTTTAAACAAAAAGTCTCTGCCCTTTGGCCCCCTCTCCCCCCACCATGAATCAAGTATCTGCATTACTCACCGACCGGAACTCCCCAGAGGCAGAAATACCTGCTCAACCGTAAAAAGCAACATTCTCCCAGCATCAACAAGACAGCTCCCTAAAAGGTAACATTCCTCCTCCATCCTGTAGGGGGCACATGACCCACCAGGATGACGCTTAGACCTGGATTGTGTAAACTGCCAATAATACATCATTTGATGTGCTGTCTCAAAAAACTTATATAAACTGTGTCTTGACGTCTAACCAGGGAACAGTTTCTCAGAGCTTTCTGAGATGTTCTTTCTGGGTTATAATCCTCAAATTTGGCTCAAATAAAATTTTCCATTTCTTTCTCAGATCAACTGATTAATTTTTCATCGATAGTGGTTTACTTCCAACTTTACCTTCTGTCCAAGAATGCCGCAAATTGGCCACGTCTCCTTGGGCACGTGTGAGATTTCTCACTGTAGAGACCTATTTGTGAAAAAGCCAGATCACAGGGTTGATTTTAAGTAGGTTTTGGCAGATGGGTTCCCCAGGCCCTCCTGAGTCTCCTCGACCCCCTCCAACCCCTCAGCCCCAGGCATCCAATGAGCTGCTTGCCATCACTCTAGGTTACTGTGCGTTGCCCAGAACTTTATATAAATGGGATCAAACAATGTGTGCTCTTTTGTTGTCTGGGTTCTTTTTCTTTTTTTTTTTTTGGCGGTACGCGGGCCTCTCACTGCTGTGGCCTCTCCCGTTGCTGAGCACAGGCTCCGGACGCGCAGGGTCAGTGGCCATGGCTCACGGGCCCAGCCGCTCTGCGGCATGTGGGATCCTCCCGGACCGGGGCATGAACCCGCGTCCCCTGCATCGGCAGGCGGACTCTCAACCACCGCACCACCAGGGAAGCCCCCTCATTGTAGTTTTTTTTTTTTTTTTTAACATCTTTATTGGGGTATAATTGCTTTACAATGGTGTGTTAGTTTCTGCTTTATAACAAAGTGAATCAGTCATACATAAACATATGTTCCCATATGTCTTCCTCATTGTAGTTTTGATTTGCATTTGTCTGATAATTAGTGACGTGGAGCATCTTTTCATGTATTTGTTGGCCAAATGTATGTCTTATTTGGAGAAACGTCGGTTTAGATCTTCTGCCCATTTTTTGGATTGAGCTGTTCGCTGTTTTGACACAGAGCTGCGTGAGCTGTTTTGGAGATGAATGCCTTGTCAGCTGCTTTGTTTGCAGATATTTTCTCCCATTCTGTGGGTTTTCTGTTTTGTTTATGGTTTCCTCTTTTGTGCAGAAGCTTTTACGTTTGATTAGGTCCCATTCGCTTTTGTTTTTGTTTTTTAAACATTTTTCACTTCTCTAGGAGGTGGATCAAAAAAGATATTGCTAAAAAAAAAAAAAGATATTGCTGTGATTTATGTCAGAGCATTCTGCCTATGTTTTCCTCTAAGAGTTTATAGTGTTGGCGTTCCATTTAGGTCTTTGATCCATTTTGAGTTTATTTTTGTGTATGGTGTCAGGGAGTTTTGTTGTTGTTGTTTCTCGGAGTTTTTGTTTGTTTGCTTTTTGGCCATGCAGCATGCAGGATCTTAGGTCCCTGACCAGGGATTGAACTCACGCTCCCTGCACTGGGAGCACGGAGTCTTAACCACTGGACTGCCAGGGAAGTCCCTAGGGAGGTTCTAGTTTCATTAGCTGTCCAGTTTTCCCAGCACTGTTTATTGAAGAGACTGTCTTTTCTCCATTGTATATTCACTGTATATTCTCACCTCCTTTGTCATATATTAATTGACCATAGGTGCGTGGGTTTATTTCTGGGCTTTCTATCCTGTTCCACTGGTCTATACTTCTGTTTTTGTGCCAGTACCATACTGTTTTAATTACTGTAGCTTTGTAGTTTAATGCTATACATTTCTAAGTACTGTTTTAGCTGTATCTCTCAACTTTTGACATGCTGTATTCTAATTTTTATTCAGTTTGAAATACTCTCTAATTTCCCTTTTGACTTCTTTGACCCATGAACTATCTAGAAGCTTATTATCTAGTTTCCAAACATTTGGGGATTTTCCAGATACTTTTTTGCCATTGATCTAATTCCACTGTGTCAGACAGCACACTTTTTAATGCCTGGATCATTTTAAAGTTGTTAAGATTTATTTTATGGCCCAGTATATGGTCTATATTAGTAAATGTTATGTGTGCACTTAAAAGAATGTATTCTGCTATTGTTGGGTGGAGTATTCTAAATGTTAATTAGGTCAGGTTGGTTGTAGTGCTATTCAAGATTTCTATAATCTTACTGACTTTATGTCTATTTGTCCTATCAGTTATTGAGGGAGTGGATTTGTCAATTTCCTGTTGCATTTCTGTTACTTTTGGCGTTGTGTATTTTGAAGCACTGTTATTAGGTGCATAAAAATTGGATTGTTATGTCCACCTGATGCATTGACTGCTTTGCCACTATGATATAAGCCTCTTTATCCCTGGCAATATCCTTTACTCTAAAATCTACTTTGCCTAATAGTAGCAGAGCCTCTCCGGCTTTCTTATGATAAAAATCAGCCTCGAGTATTCAGCTGAGTCCCGATCAGTGCACTTGTGTGAGAAATGGCTGGGGAAAGAACACTCAGAAGAATTAGAACAATCCCAGGAGGTCACATAGAAAATACTGTTATATTTTATTTAAAATGTTGTTTATGTTCATAGGTGACAGGCTTATTGTTTTTAGCTTTTTCTCAGTTTTTATTTCTAATATGGTAAGTATTGATAGATAGGACCCACATCATCAAAACTCTTGTGGTTCTCAGTAATTTTTTTTTTTTTTTTTTTTGCGGTACGCGGGCCTCTCACTGCTGTGGCCTCTCCCGGTGCGGAGCACAGGCTCCGGACGCGCAGGCTCAGTGGCCATGGCTCACGGGCCCAGCCGCTCCGCGGCATGTGGGATCTTCCCGGACCGGGGCACGAACCCGCGTCCCCTGCATCGGCAGGCGGACTCTCAACCACTGCACCACCAGGGAAGCCCCTCAGTAATTTTTAAGACTGTAAAGTTGTCCTGAGACCAAAGATTTGAAAACAACTGGTTTAGACAAAGTCGCATATTTGCCATTTTATTTGCTCCCCCTCTTCTTCCATGTCAGACGATCTTTCTAAGGTAATTTTCTTTTTTCCTGATGTAACTTTTAGGAGTTTCTTTGGTGAGAATCTCTTGGTTTTATATCATCATAGATTTTGTCTTTAAAAGAATGTTATTTCACCTATTAGTTTTTAAATCTTTAAAAAA